AGAACCCGTATCCGTCCTCAAAACCAGTATTACCACTCGTTTTCGGCCGTCCGTAGGTTATCGTAAGGTTGCTGGTTCGCTTAGCGTACTGGACGGCTTGGTAGACGGCGGAGAAGTGAGGATCGTGGGGTTTGAGGTTATGCTTCGTGAGCATCCCAAGCGCTAGGGAGAGATCAGGACGTGAGACCGTGCTGGCGTAAATTAGACTACCGGTGAGAGACTGGTAGGTCTTCACGTTTTCACGGTTTGCCGGTTCATCGGCTTTCCTAAGCTCGGTGCTAGGACTGAATGGGATGAAAGGTCTTGGAGAGGTTGCTGGGACGTCAGGAAACTTGTCAATATAGGCTTTTTGGCCTATTTTCATGATTCCGGCTTCACGGTCACGTTGGATCTTCAGGCTAAGGTAGTGAGAGACTTCACCTAGGTCTGAAATAGACCATTGCTTAGCGATCGCTTCCTTGACTCTCTGAAGCGTTGTTGGAGACGTCGATGCGAGCAACATATCATCTACGTAGACGAAGATGATGGTAATTCCACCCCCTTGCTCGTGGCGTACGTATAGACATGGATCAGAGGATGAGGCATTGAAGCCTTTGGAAAGGAGGAAGCTGCTAAGGGTCTTATACCAATTGGCTGCTGACTGGCGCAAGCCGTATAGACTCTTACGAAGGCGACAGACATTACCGTGAGGTTCGACGCCATGAAAGTCGAGACCGTCGGGGTATTGCATGTACGTTTCCTCTTCCAAAATCGCATTGAGATAGGCCAAATTGACGTCTAAATGCGTCGAATATAGCTTCTTCAATGTGATGACTGCAAGGAGTACTCGGAGGGTCTCGTAGCGGCCGGTGGCGGCGTACGCATCCTCATAATCAATGCCTTCTCTCTGGGTATTACCTCGGGCCACCCAACGTGCTTTGAACTTGGCAGGTCTGCCATTGGCATCGGTCTTGAGCTTATAGACCCATCTACCCGAGAGGATCTTGGCCCCTGGTGGTGGAGATGCTGGTTGCCATACTTAGAGAACCTCAAATTGAGCGATCTCCGACTTTATAGCTTACTCCCACCATGGCCAGAACGGTGAAGCCTTAGCTTCCCGAAGAGAGGTTAGAGACTCGAGCCATTAAGCTGGCGTAGACTCGATGTCTTGGATAGACGGAAGTGCTAGGAGAGAGCTCTCTATAGAGAGTATTGCAGCTTCCGCAAGAAGCACTGTGGACTAGTCTTCACAGCGTTAAATCTCAGCTTTTTCAGCTCTTAAAGCCGTTGAAAATAGCTGAATTGGGTCTCTGGAATCGGCGTCGGAGACGTCCAATGCGTCTGAGACCTCGGATTGATCTGAATCCTCGTCCAATACGTAGAATTCGTCATTTTTGGGGTCGTCGGAGTCCTCTGGATCAGGGCCATGGAGGTTGACGGGCCCGGAAATAGCTGGAGAGGCTGGCTAGGTCTCTTGCTGGATGCTAGTAGGTGTTGTCGGGGTGTTAGGGTCATTGTATAGATCCCAATCGGGTCCTTCATCAATGATTGCATCTCTCACGACATGCATTGTGCCTCCTTTCTTATTAGGAAATGGTCTATAGACGCGATATTGGGCGCCGCTATAGCCAGTGTATCCAGTGAGGTAGCCAAGCTCTGCTCTCGGAGCTAGGTAGCGTCCTTCTTCGCTTTAGTGAATAGCTTCACGTGGGAAGACTTTCCAGACCTTACTACCAATGATGCGTAGAAATGATAGGTCTGGCTTCCTACCGTAGCGAAGCTCGAAGGGTGTAATGGGAGGTCTTCCATGCATCTTACGGCC